CATTAAATGACAGAAAAGAAAAAAAAAAGCTGAGAAAAGGTCTAAATAAACTGTGAGATGTGACAAAGTTAACAAATTAAATGCAAATGTGATTATTTGCATTCTAGTTTATAAAGACTTTCCCAAAATAGATCATTTCCATGTAGTTCATATGAATTTCTGGTATAATAATTAAGATAAAAATAACATTAAATTAATATTTGCGTAGTTTGCAAAGCATCAAGAGTGTTTTACATCCAAGCACCACATCTTTAGGTTGTTCTTATGGTAAAACTTGAAGCCATCAGATTTAAAGGTTTTTCAATTTTATTCTCACAATAAAAAGCTGCTTTTATTATAATATATGTACATCAAAATGCGAAATCTGTTAATGAAAAGAAAAAAAACCAGTTTGATCAAGGTGCAGCACAAATCAAACAATAGAAGGAGAAGCAGCAGAGACATGTTTTGATGGGAGCTCAGGGGGAGGGGTGGAGCATGTGAGGGGTATTTGGGTCAGTCGTGAACCAGAGGATGGAGCAACACATTTCACAATGAAAGGTAAAAGAGGAACTGAGTAGAGTAATGGTCCAAAAAAGCATCTAAAACCTAATGGATCGAGGAGAGTTTCCACAGCTAAACAGGCAATTTTAACAAAACAAATGCAGCAATGCAGGCTGGAGAAGTGGGTGTTTATTATGCTTGGTTAAGCCATTAGCTGCACGCTGAGAGGGGGGCTTTTGTTCAACCTTTGCTTTGCTCGTAGAAAAAAAAAAACAATCACCAACTAGAACTTCCAGCTTCATAATAAAACCAACATGCAGACATGAAACTGTGACAGAAACCATATTTATTACAGACATGCTTCAAAAAATACCTCAATTACAAACATCTTCCAAGGATCAGCTTAGACCCACTCGKCCTTCTTCTCCTCCCTCCTTTTAAAAAGTACAGACAGCAGGATCTGTCCAGCATCCTCATCTTTATTAACAAGAGCATCCTGACTCTCCATCTGTCTATTGCGAGAACACAAGCATCAAAATCCGCATGACTTCTAACATTGCGAGCCTCAACACAATTAAGGGAGTGAAACCCCAAGACAAAGGCTGAAAAGACCCCGAGAGCAGAACACAGCCCCCCACAACAACAACAAAAGCCTACCTCCAGTCCTCCAGGAGCAGTAAGGAATAAGAGAAAAAAGGGGAACACGTGGGCTCCTCTAGCAGGCAGCCCCACTCCTCTCCACCTCCCCTCCTGTGTGTTGATCTTTGCTCGGTGCAGCCCGTTTGTTCTGACGGTGCATTAGCGTGCAGAGCAGAGGTGGGAAAAACAAAACAAAACAAAACATGTCCGTCACTCTGATCTGTAATCAGTAATCAGGGAACCTTCCTGCCCGGAGCGCTGAGAAAAGTTTACGCGCCTCTGTGTTCCTGAACGACTGAGCGATAATCCTGTGATGTCGTGCCTAAACGGCTCAGACAGAGCAGCAGCAGGCCAGGGAGAGGAGGCTGAGTCTGAGAGAAGGGGGTGGGGTGGGGCAGGTGAGCTGCAGCGCCCGGGATGCTWTGGTGCGGAAACGTGAGGCGTTCAATGACCAGGTTTGGAGGGATCACTTGATTCACTAGAAAGCAGAGACAACTGAACGCCTCTTYGTGAAAAAAATCACACAACAGGTGCTCTGTGGCTACTGAGTGAAAACAGATTAACAAGGATGCTTCTTAAATGCAGAGAAGCAAATAAATGTCTTCCCTGAATTTAAGGATGTATACAATCTACACAGCTAGGGACGCAACTGATTTAGACAATCTAAAACGTCTGAACTGTAAAAACAACACGCATTATCCAATGCTGATTCAATGATTCAAAATTCTATTAGTGATATAATATTTTCTGAACAAATATGTTACACGTATGCCTGCTGTTTTCATGAACAACCAAATCTGATGTGACGATGGCAGACTGCAGATCTTTTGTATCGTTTTTGCAGGCCATCTCTCAGTTTTTATTAGCATTAGCAATTAGCATTAAAAAAATGAAACAATTCAAACGCTACATAATGTAAGTGCTAATACAATAACATTACTCGTCCATTGCGTGACCTGTTGCCGATGTCTGATGATTCACAGGTTCATAGCTCAAGAAATCATGATTCTGAGAAACTTGTGAGCCTAAAATATTCTGAAAGGTTTTCCTGCAGACATGCATCCGAGAAAACCTGTTTTGGATCACAGATTTGTGGGTATCAACTCTGTATTGGTTTGAGTTCACAAGCACTAAACCTTTCATAAAATTTAAATGAACTACTGTATTTATTCATGTATAATACGATCTCATGTATAATACGACCCCCCACTTTTTTGAGCTTAAAAAGCATAAAAAATTTAATCCTCAAACTACCTCCAATTTCATACAGACTTTAAGATTTTTCGGCCTTTGCAGTCTTTATACATATCAGCAAAATGATCATTGGACTGTTCATTTTATTTTAACAACATATGTACTAAAAGGTATTTTGACAACAAATATAAATCAGCTGTAGCAGCATCATATTAATTCTGGCATTTTGCACATAGTCCACCAGGATGCGCCAACACAAAAGTCAGAGACTTCACATGAGATTTGGGCCATCTTGTGGGGGAAAGCAGATTACTTCCTACTCGTGAGTGCCCCCTCTGGTGGGGAAAAGTTTTTTCAGGGATACAAACTTTTTCAGACCACCGGTAGATGGCAGCCATTACAGACGAACATGTGTTTGTTGTTGTTCGAGGAGTGGCTCGGTCACACGCTAATATCTTTAGTTCGTTATCGTTACTAAGGTGCAGGAATACTTTCCCCCCCTTTTTTTCACTTCATGTCGCCTGCCTGGATCTGTTATTGTCTCGCTCTGAAGCACGGAGGAGTGTCAGAGTTAAGCTCATTTCAACTGCTTTTTACGATGTGGTCTCATTTCTGGACTCAATAATTTTGTGAATGAAACCGATATTTCAGTTAAAATACATAAGTAAAAATATTTATCCRAGTATAGTACTACCCCCCAAATTTATGGATGATTTTATGGATTTAATTTTATACTTGAATAAATACGGTAGTTAAAGATCAAGAAAATATATTGAATGGATAGCTAATACTTTCTTCTGTATTGTAACTTCAGAGAACAATTAAATTCATTAAATTAATTATCAATAACAACAAACAAACCCAAACAGTGCAGCAGCCAACAATTTAGCTTGTTAAGCATTCAATTAGAGCCAGAAAAGTACAAAAAAGCAACTCTAACAACTCGATATAAACAACTCACTGAACAAAAAATTGTCTTAATGCAAATAACTTTTTAGATCTAAAAACATTGATCCTTTCCAAGAGATTACAATCCCAGGGTGTCTGCATGTTTGGTGGAAGCAACCTTGAAACAGATGAAAAAAAAGTAAGCTCTTTGGTATTTTTATGGCGTTCAGAGAGCATGCAAGGGCTGTTGACATGACGTCCATAAAAAGATAAATAATTAACTTATAATGAAATTCAAAGCAAATGCGTACTCTTGTTGAACAAGACAACTTTAAGGGGATGTGGAGAGGACGGGTGGAGTGGAGGAAACACAAACTTCCTGGTTTTTAAATCTTAAAGCAGGATGTTTAATCCACTTGTTTTGAAAGAACTTTTTTAATCTGCAGTTTAAGATTATAGTCCTCATAAAAATGTATGAATATGTGTCTCAAATTGCTTAGAAACACTGCCCCACCCTTCATAAACACACACACCTCACCAGGCCTAAAGAGACCYGCCTTCAAGTCTGAAACATATCACCACCTCTGAGCATTCAGCCTTATTTCCTAACATTCAAACAAAAAGACATTACATTTCTCGAGTTGTGATACTTTGCAAACTGTTGGATCTTTGTACTGCTTTGTTTACGTTTCTTGGAGAACTTGACTTTTTTGGTTTCCTTGTCATGGTTATAGCTCAGGGCCATAAACGAAAGCAAACACACATCTTGCCTTTTTATGACCCAACAAGTAGCTCTACAACCTGTTACTTAATTGGACCGAGATCAATTAACGATTGGCCTCTTTCACAACATCCTCGCACGGACCTGCTTAATGAGATATTGGCTCCACTGTTCAAACTCTCAGGAGAAACTTTCTGCTGCTGCCCTCATCACATTTAAGGCTGATAAATTTAGAGCCACGTCCATCAATAATTCACAGAGCTGCGTAAACAGATAGAGGAGAGGGCCAACATGACTCAGGTGCAGACACTCTTTAGAGTTTGATGTAATCTCACTTCAGTGACAGGACACTTTGAATATAAAACAGAAAGATCAATATTATTCATCTGCTCAATGATAAACACAAGCAAGCACTTAAGATATTAAGCGTTTAAAGCTATAAAGACAACTGGCATGGCAGAGTAGTTCATGCAGTTTAAACTCCACACTTTCCAGTATTGAATTAAAAATTATCCCTGGATTGGAAGCAAAACATCTACTACAGCAGTGGTTCCCAAACTTTTTATCTTCTGACCCACAAAATACCCATGGCAAAAACTTGTGACCCCAAATATTACTGGTCTGAGTACATGAACTTCGTTAACAACTCTAAAAACACAGGCTTTTTCACAATCTAAACAGCTTGTACACAAATATAAATACTTATTT